ATCTATCGATCTATCATCTATCATATATCTATGGTGTGTGTATGTGTGTACACGTGCATATGTGTGTGTGCATGCAGTTCACCTAGCATGCATGCAGACATGTAGAGGTCAGAGGACAACTTGGGAGACAGTTCTCTTTCCATCATGTGGGTGTTGGTCAAACTCAGGTCATCAGTCTTGGCTTACAGTAAGCACCTTTACTTACTGAGCCACTTCACCAGCCCTGGCCTATCATCTATCTATTTATCATCTATCTATCTATCTATCTATCTATCTATCTATCTATCTATCTATCTATCTATCTATCATCTATCATCATCATCACCATCTATCTATCATCTATATATCATCTATCTATCTATCTATCTATCTATCTATCTTATCTATCATCTATCTATCTATCTATAATCAATCATCTATCTATCTGTCTATCATCTATCATCTATCTATCTATCTATCATCTATCTACCATCTATCATTTATCATCTCTAGCTCTATCATCTATCTATCTATCTATCTATCTATCTATCTATCATCTATCTATCATCTATCATCTATCTATCTATCTATCTATCTATCTATAGGGTCTCCCTGTAGCCCCAGCTGGCCTAGAACTCACAGAGGTCTGTCTGTCTGTCTACCTATCATCTATCGATCAATTATCTATCTACAGGGTCTCCCTGTAGCCCCAGCTGGCCTAATCTATCTATCTATCTATCTATCTATCTATCTATCTATCATCTATCTATCATCTATCTATCATCTATCTATCATCTATCATCTATCATCTATTCAATACTTCTGACATTTGTGCTAGACTTACTGAGGGAGCAAGGTTTGAGGCCAGTGTCTGAACTGATCATTCAAAAATCTCTGCTGAGAGCCACTGGAGGTTTTAAACAGGTTTTAAACAGTCTGGAGGTTTTAAACAGTCTGTTTATATTTAAGCCTGCTGGAAGCCTTGGGCCAGAGAGGGCTCTCCAGCAGAGTAGTCAGCTGGAGGAGCTGTGGGCATGCGGCTGTTGGCAGGTGACTTTTGGGACTGGCCAAGACCTTGCCACTGACAGTTTTTGCCAACTGATGATGCCACCCACAGTATCTGTCTTCCAGTGGGGAGTGAAGCACAGCTTCCTGCCTCCCTCATAACAGATGGAATCATGTGCAGGGCTGGGTGAGGCAGGGGGCTGAGTTATGGATCTGGGTTGTGAACCAGGCGGAAGGCTGGCAGTCCAGGAGGTCTTGTGGGATAGGCTCAGATGGCTCCTCTAGTGTCAGAGCAATGGAAGCAGGGAAAGAAGTTGTTTAATGTGCAAAATCATTAAGAAAAATAATGCTTTCGCTCCAGGGTGTTCAGAAAGTCCTAAACAGCTGCTAATTAGCTTGCTGCAGCAGGAAGCCGAGGCTGGGATGGGGCAAGGCTGGCTGTGGGCTGTGGACTGCTCAGCCTCTTCCCTCCCCTATGCTCTGACCTCTTGCCTCTGCCCACATCCACTTAGCACACCCACTTCTTACATTTATACACCAGAATCTCAGAGATCCTGGGCCATGGAAAACATCCATTGTCTCATGTGTGTGTGAATGTGTGTGTGTGTGTGTGTGTGTGCGTGTGTGTGTGTGCATGTGTAGGGGCACACATATGGGAGTCAACCTAGGGTATTGGTTTATCTTGTTTTTTTAAACAAAACAGAGTCTCTCACTGGGACCTGGGCTTGCCAATTTGGTTAGGCTGGCTGGCCACTGAGTTCAAGGGATCTGCCTGTCTCTGTCCTACACCCCTCCCCTGCCCTGCCTCTTTCCTCTGGAGGATGCCCACTTCTGTGTTTTGACATTCTAGGTGGTGACTAGCAGGTGTGACTAGCCTGGCATACACCCTCTCACTGATCTGCCACAGCGCCCCAGGGACTCTGGAGAGCTAAATGCAAATGTACAGGAAAACCTGTGACAGTGGCTTGAGAAAGTCCCTCAGTGGAGCCAGGCATGGGTCACCCCAGGGTACCAAATGATCACAAGAAACCCATTTTCTTAATCAATCGTATTTTATTGTCATTTATAAATATCTTATAATTTATAGTTGCAAAATAGTTTGATATTATACCTTCGCCCACCTCTCAGCATCTCTCTATAAACCCCATGAAAATTGATAGGAAATAAAAAGCTCTTTTGTGGGAGAGGTGACTAACCTGACTCCCCCCCCACCCCAGACTCCAAACAACCCCACGTGACAGCAGGTGACACTGCAGCTGATGCTACATAGTAGCAAAGCGGTGGCTGGCAACGGCTCGGAGGGTCAGGATACCAGGCTCCTCAGGACGTTGGTGATACTCCAGTGTTGGCCTGAGCACTTTTGCAGAACCAGCTGGAAGCCGAACTCCATTTCGCTGTTTTCCTGCAGCTCCAGGCAGCGCTTGGACTTACGGTTCTGGATGGGGCCACCCTAGGAACCAGGCAAACAGAATGTCAGCGGGCGTAGCAGCAATCGGGGATTCAGGGAGGCCAGGCCCTGGGGGTGGCTGGGGCAACCTGTGTGGCTTGGGGAGGTCTATGTTCCTATGTCCTCAGGTTCCCCCAGCTCCTATGTGCTTACCTCCTCCCAAAGGATAAGGTGTGCCTCAGTTTCCCCATGGTGCCCAGTTCTTTGTGGGGACAGAGATCTCCCTGCCCCAATTTCTGTCTATCTCACTGGACTGTGGAATACTGCTTTGTTCCCACAGCTCCTGGTCAGGGGAATGGTCTCTATTCTGAAAAGCTTCAGTCTTGGAATCCCTCCATGGTCAGCCTGCATTTGGACATCCCTAGACTGGGACCTTCTGCTCCTAGGGCCCCCATTTGACTGTTGGAGTCAATAGTGCTGGTCTCAACCAAACTCCAGGACTTTGATATTCTGTTAGGCCACTGGACTCCCCAAGTCCTGGGTATGCATGGGGTCTTTCATACTACTGATGTTTTGTAGCCACAAATACTCAGTTTACAACCCAAAACTCCTTGAAGGAAGCCGTCCAAGCTTTTTGTTGCTGTGATAGAACACTGACCAAAACCAGCTTGGGGAGGAAAGTAGGCTTATACATCCTGATCACAGTTCATCATTGAGGGAAGCCAGTGCAGGAACTCGGCAGGAACGTGGAGGAAGGAACTGAAACACAGACCATGGAGGGATGCTGCTTACTGGCTTGCTTCCCTGGCCTGTGCTCAGCCTGCCCAGGGGTGGCACCACCACCATATGATGGGCCCTCCATTACTTAGCAATCAAGAAAATGCCTCTCAGACATGCCCACAGGCCAGTCTGATAAAGGGAATTCCCCAATTGAGGTTCCCTCATTCAGGGAACGTAAAGTTGACACACGAGGCTGTCTAACACAGAAGTCCCGTTTCCCAAAACATCCACACAGCAGCTAAGAGGAGCCTCAAGTGAGATCCTGCTGGGATGGGGACTCTGGGGCCACTGAGAGCCCAGCATGAGCCCAGGCTGTCTGAGGATGTTATGAGGCTGTGCTCAGCTGAACCTGGCCTCATAAGAAGAGTAGCTGGTGGTCCCCATCTCTGCAATAACCAGGCATTTGTGTAGGAAAACTAGACATTTCATGTCCTCCTTCTGCCCCTCAGCATCCAGTCAGGTACCCAGTCCTGTTGATCTCACCTCCTTCCTGTCCATATCCTTGTCCCATCATGTCTGCCTTGTTTGAGTCACTGTCACCTCTCACCTGAGCAACTACTTCAGGCTCCTAAGGGACTGGGAACCTTGCTAAAGTACAGTCGCAGCCTGGAGCAGAGGTGCAAGCTGCCCCGAGCAAGGCTGAGAGCCTTCATGTGTGTTTCTCTAGCCTCAGCGCTGACCATTCCTGAGCTCCACACCTTTCACAGTACAACGCCCTATGCTCCTGCAGGTTTCTGGTCATGTGCTTTATCTCTGTGCCCTCTGGGCCTCTTCTTTACACTTCTGTGACAGGCTGAGCATTGCTGCGTCTCCAAGTCCAGCTCCCACTCTACTACCTGCAGGAAACCTTTCCACCTTCACCGTGCTGCCACCCACCTCCTCCTGGGACCCCAGCTGCCCTGATGCTCTTATTTTGCAACTTTTCCCACTCATGGCAGGCAGTGAACTGTCTGAGGGAGACATGGAAAACCTCTCCTGTAAGGAACTCAATTCCGAGGTGGCCACAATCATCCCCGTGGCAACTGCTGACATCTCAAGAAAACGTGAAGATATATTTCTCACAACTACCTAGGAAACAGATTGTTTCCACTATAGCTGAACATGTGTTCCTGTGACCTAACAATTCCATGCCTAGCTGACATCTAATTGGAATGTGTGTACTAAATACATGTACTTAAACACTTCTGAAACATGATGTAAAAGCTCCAAGCTGGGAACAACCCAAGCATCCATCAAGAGTAGACTGGATAAATAAACTTATAGTATAGTTATACAGTGGGATGCCATCTAGGACTACACCAAATAATAAATCATAATTCTCAGAAATGCAATAACGAGCTAACACACACACACACACACACACACACACACACACACACACACACATGCACACGCACATTCTGCTTGGATAAGTTTCTTGATGGGCCAAGTGAAACAGAAATGTTAAAGTCAGGATGGTAGTCTCCTATGGGGAGAATGGAATGGGAAAGGCAGAGGCAAGGGTAGGGGACCATCTCTGAGGTGTGGCACCGGGCTATTTCCTGACCTGGATATTGGTTACCTGGCCATTTGCTTTGTTTTTAGATTGAGTTGAACATGTGTTTTTTTAAGTTTCTGTACATGTGTTGATTTTCAATTAAGAAATGTGAAAGCAAAAATTCCAGGCTTCCTCAGAAAAGAATTGTAAAGCAGATGAAGAGTCAGGGAACAAGAGGGGGAGGTAGAGTGCAGCGAGGGTATGTGAGTGTCGGGGGTGGGGGTGGTCATAATGCCTGTTGTGTGGAGATGGTCCATCAGATCACACAGTCCGTGTTAGAAATATCCAGGTACGTAACTTGGGGTCCCTCCCTACACTCCACCCTGGGTCTCAGGCCCTTTCCTGAGAAGAACAGTGACTCACTGTCTCAAAGAAGCAAGGGGAGGTTGGAAATCCCTCTCCTCTTATACTGCAGGTGCAGGTTCTCTGGAACCACAAATGTAGGTTCTGAGGCCCAAGGAAGGGGAGAGCAGCAGATAAGGCTTGAAAGATCTTGGGACCCCCTCCATGCTGTGGGACACTTTGTAGGCCACTCCTCTCTGTCATCTGTAGACGGAATGGCCTCTCTCAGTCATGGGATGATGGCCCATTCTACTCTGCCTGGCACCTTTAGAGGGGAAGAACATGCCCTCCCCAGCAAGGGCCTTCTTCCCAGGCTGAGTTCCTGAGAGCATCCTCCTCCCACTAACTAAACTCTTGTCTCACAGCACCTACCATGAGACCTGGGGCTTCCCCTCAGACTGCCATGAAAGGCCTACTCCTCTCTACTTCTTCCATGTCCCCATTTCCACACTTTTCCAGGTGCCTTGTGGGACAACCTTGTATCATGTTTTCACTGTGGCTGCCCTCCTTCAGACAAGCTCCAGTTGGTTGTGTTTCTCAGAAATGATCACACAGAATGACATCAGGGCTGTGTCACATATACCGGACAACAGGTTTCTTCAGTGTGGTCAAGGAATTGGCACTTCTGTGCTCAAATCTTGTTCGTGCCCCATGCTGGGAAGACCATAGTATCTTTAGAAGACACCTCAAGTTGTCCTCTAAGAACATGTGGTCCCCCTTGGATCTCTATCCTGTCCTTTAGAAAGGCTGGGCTTTGGGGGCCAGAAGCATTCTGTGTAACACTGGGTCCAAGCAAGGCTAGCCCACTGAACTGTCAGCCCCAATTCCCATAGCATCCATGAAAGTCTTGTGGCACCCAAACCTGAGTGTATTTGTGGCTCATGCCTAGGCCAGGCATATCATTACTGCCTCTGAAGTAAAACTGTAGCCAGACCATCCTGATCTCTTCAACTGTCTGTCATGCTCCAGGAGGCAGACAGCAGAACTCAGGCAGGGAGGGAGAACTAGCCCAGCTCATGGTCTCCTGGATTTTAGGCCTGAGGCAGAGAAGAGAATCCTGTACTCAAACCATCTCTTCTGCTTGTTAGCTGGGAAGGGGTGCTTGGGAAAGGCTGTCCCCTCCTCTGCCCTTCTCCTTGCCTTGTCTGTGGGGCTGAGGAATGACTCCTGGGAGACTGAACAGAAGGGCTGATGGGAGACTTACCAGCTCTCAGATGGCATATACAAACATGGGGCTATTCAGGGCATCAGCATGGGGGCTCTCAGAAAGGGGACTGGGCCACACTCTGTCCACTCTGCTGTAGATTCTGGCTGCTCAGCACATCCTCAGGGTCAAAGACAGGCTCTGCCAACAGTGAGGCCGACTGCCTCAGAGCTTCTTGGCCCCCAGAGCTTGGAAATACTCATGGACTATAGAGGCAACTGCATCCCCTCCTTCCCTACCGGCCACATGAACACATTCTCAGCCTGCTGTGCTTGCCTTTGCTCAGCACCTTGCCAACATGAGAGAAATTGGAGGGAGTAGAGTGTCCCTCAGAGACTCAAGGCTGATATTTCCCAGGCCTTACCTGCCACCGCACCCCCCCCCATTGCCCTCAGCATCCTAGAGACAAGATGTGTATGGTTGTGGGAGTAGAGACAGCCAGTGTGGCCTCCTGGAAGAGTGTGGAAGAAATGGGTCAAGTCCAAGAGCAGAGGTGGGGTGGGGAGAAGGGACCCAATGTCACTGAGATTATCAGTCTTCCTGAGAGGGCTGTGTCAAGGGCTCCCTCCCCGGAGGCTGATGGAGGAAAATCTTCTCAAACAACAAACAGTGTAAGCATCTGACATGCTCCTTGGAACTGCATCTGGGGAGGGAGAGAGCATTCAGGCTCTCTCTGGCAGTAGATCTAGCACCAGCGATGGGTGCTGCCCTCCTCTCCGACCATCATCTTTCTTATGGAACAAATGCTGGGTGCTCTCCCACTCTCTGGGCAAATTCCATCTACCAGACTTGCAAAGAAGCTTTGCTTCCTTCCATTCATACCTTCCTGAAATGCTCCACACCCTGGGAGCATCCGGGTGTTGTATCTGCCTGTGTCTCTACCTGTTCTGCATGGGAACTAAAAAAGTTATTTGCCGTTTGCCTGACATTGGGCCCATGCTGTCCCTGCTCAGTGCCAGCTGTTTCTCTTAACAGCTCCCGGAGGTGGAGATGATAGGAATCCTCTTTTCATAGAACTGGAGACCAAGGCTATGAGAGGATGGGATACTTTCCCAAGATGCCATGGGAGAGCCCAGCTGGTCTTCCCCCTTCCCTGTTCTCCACTAGACAAGTAGTCAATCCTTCTCACCACTTATCCCAACCCATGCCTGTCTCTGAAGTACTGGGCTAGACTGAAGGAGCTGGTGGTACCCAGGACTG